ATCCTCCTTTGTCTTTGCCGGCAAAACTATCTGCTAAGTGACTTTCATACATAAGACGAATCACTTCACAAATAAACCGTAGATCATGGTATCATCTCTGAACGCACACTTCTCTCCGTAACCGCTGTGCTTAAAACATTTTCCGTCCTTTATCCCCTCTACCGTGTACTCGATTAATCTCCGTTAAAATGGGTCCATGGGATCTGCCTGCTTATGCATGATGACGTCTTAACTTTACTATTCACAGAAGGTAAACACCAAAAATATCTTGACCACTCAGGAGGAAACATCGCGAAAAATCTATAATCACAGAGAATTCAGAAGCCCAGGTGCCTTCGGTCTCTCCAGATGATAGGCCGCCCGGACTCCAGGTGGAACTGATCAAGTTTCGTGGAACCGGCTGTTTTTGAATGGTGCGGTTGGCTTAACACTAGGCTTAACCCTCTGCCAGTACTTCATAATCATTGGCTAGAAGTTCGTCGGGTTGGACTAGTTCCCACTTCAGCTGGAGTAAGGGGCTACTGCCATATGAAACTACCGAAATCGGTTGACTTGCACAGTGTGGGGCACCTAGGCGTTTGCTGAGGAGGTTGATTTAGGAAAGTATTAAGATTCTCGGAGCAACAGTGCGAGACCATTATTAAATTATGAAGCATCCTCCAATTAGTATTGGCGGCGATAAATGCTAACGAGGAGAATGTTATCCAAAGGTGGGAGGGATTTGTACTTCGCATGAAGACTGCAGCCGGTTATGTGTCCATATCGACTCAGTATGCTTTTTTTACCATTTCTTTTCCATGTTTGCGTACACAGTTTACGATCTGTTTTAAGTTAAAACGTGATAAGCGAAAAAAACAAGAATGTTATCTTTCCCAAAAAGCAAAAACAGCTTGCATGGTCGAGGAACCCGCATCTTTCCCTGAGAAGTATAGTGTCCACACATCGCGTATGTCAGCTGGTGCTTTTAAAAGGCCTATCGATTTTTTTGCGGGTGCACATACATCAATTGGACGGCCTTGGAGGTACGCGTGTTAAGGGGCGGAGAACCCGTAGAGTGTT